AGCAGGGACCACAGAAAAAGATTTCCAACAGCCAGGGAAGCAAGAAGCAGTAAGGCATTTATTGTAGAGTTTAAAGAGAACAGTAGCCATTTCAGGAGCATATTTCTTTAAGACTACTGCAGGGATACTATCAAGTCCACATGCTTTGTTTAGATCCTGTTTAAAGATGATAGCAGAAACCATGGATGGAGTTGTATGCATATCACAAAAAGGAGACTCAGTTCTAATTAGCAAGCCAAGCAAAGATACTCCAGATGAGTCAAGAGTATAATTGGAAGAGGATTTACAAGCAAAGCAGTCTGCTTTATCAGCAGAAGTAATTGCAGGCAGTAACAACACAAAATGTTATAACACCCATAATTGATCTTGATATTATTGTAGCCCTTGCTACTCTGTACACTTGACAAAGGCAGGCGCTTTGACCTTTCTTCCTCTTGTTTCCAACACATACCTTGCAATTTAATTTCATTTAGTTTCATAATTGTCCTAATTACTTTTTAGTTCGTGCTGTGTTATGAAACTAGTCGTAATACACTTCATGACCATTTTATACCTTCGTATTTTGTAGCAAATTTCTGCTTATTTTTTTCTTGAGTTTTTTAATATTTTGCAACATCTGTCCTTGTTGTTACACTCTCTTCATATAACTCACAAAATTCAGAGGTTGTAGAAGGAGGAGGAGAAATTCAGGCCCCCTCGCCATTGTGGCCAGGGTGCTTGGACAGGTTACATATTAAGTTATGTTCCCATTTTTTTGTGATCTGTCAATTGGATGATAGTTGGGCTTTCCTATCTATTCTTACTACCGGCATACTCTTGCCCCTACTTACTTCCTGCATCTTACTTCTGGCATTTGTAGCCTTTGCTGCTTCTGGCTACCTTGGACTCTTTCATCTGGAATTCCTGACTTTACTACTTCTGGCTAAACCCTGATCCCTGCTTCCATTATCATTTACTTCAACCTTACCCACATAAATGATGGCATAAACAGACATGTTCATGAGAGCTCATTGTCCCTACTCCTTCTGACATCACTTACTTCAATCTAACACACCTGGTTGATTGTTAATGTACCTGATCACTACAGCCCCAAACATCCTACTACTCCTGACTTGTGGCATGCATATTGTTGCAGACTCTAATAACCTATCCCACACACTATGGTTATAATTCTGCATAATATATTTATTTGTATAAGTGTACATAATATAACTCTTTGCTACAAAGCCAGCACTGGACATTGGACTTGACCAGCTACACCGCAAAGCCAGCAGTGGACAATGAATTTGACAGATATCAGCAGGTATCAGACCAACAACAACCAGCACTGGCATTTGGATTTGACCTGCCCTTTCAACACCTTCATCGGACTCACATGCTAACCTACAACTCTAGTCTGTATTATAAATAAATTTTGTATTAATCTTAAATATCCTCATTCTGTTGTCCATTTTGTTTCAGATTTCACATCTTTAATTAAAAAAATGTTTGTGGGTCTCTTGTGACCTCATACTTATTTGGGTGCTCGGGCCATATAACATTGCCACCCCCACTTTCAGGAGGTCCGCAACAATATCTAAAATCCATTAAAGAAAAATGACTTTGAAATCAGTCAATGATGATCGCTAATTGATACGAGAGGAATCTGAAAAATAATTAAATCAAAAAATAATGACATATTTAAATGTTATTTATTTGTAAATTCAATTATTTGATGATTTTCTTATAGAAAGTATCAGCACCACAGTCTACCTCCAGCTTCAAAAGCTAACACCACTGCTTTTTTTTCCTCTTTTCTCTCTCACTCACCCATTACTCCTCAATCTTGTTTCACTCACTTCTTTGATGTTTTCTGAGCCTGTGTATAGAACTGGTGCGAGAGTGGGATATAGAATTAAATGTCTTCTCTGCTAACATTTACACTATAGCTTTTACTTCTCTAGGTTAAACAAACTTTTGTTAAAAATTTATCTTAAGAAATGAAAGAATAAGACATTTAACAAGATTATCACAAATGCAAAGAAGATTATCAAAAACAAAGAATTTCAAATCTCTTATCCTTCCCATTACAAATACTTTTAAAGTCACTAACAAAAAAGATAAGACTTAAAGTGAAATTTGAAAAGAAATAAACATTTATTAAAATAATATTTTTACAATATACAAAATACAATATAGGCCATCTATATCTCTGAGAAGAGGTATTATGATTACTTGCATTATTACATTATTCGGACTGTTATCATTGCCATATTTACAATGTTTCGACCGTTGTACGCTTCGGCCTTCTTCAGATTATTGGAATTTCAAACCAAACCTGTCATTTTGTCCACCAAGGTAGATCGTTCTGCCCCTTCTGGATGTCTCAGTTATTTCCCTTTAACTCAACTTTACAAATTTTGGTTCACCACTATTGTGGCCTGGTATTGAACTCACAACGCTTTGGGTCTAGTCGCTGGATCTAATCAACGTCTTTATCCACTTCAGCAGTGGTGGATCAAAACTTGGAGAGTTGAGTTAAAGGGAAATAACTGAGACATCTGGAAGAGGCATGGCATGTGGAACTAGAACAATCTACCCCCAGTGAACGAAACAAAGGGTTTGGTTCGAAATTCCAATCACTTGAAGAAGGCCGGAGTGTTTAATGGCCGAAACGTTGTGAATATGGCAATGAAGATGAGGATAATAGTCTGAATAATGTAAAAAATGCAAGTAACATTATAGACCTTGCACAAAATTTCTCTTGTGTATTTCAAACTAACAAGGCAGGTTAACAGTTCTTTCAAAATACAATTCTTTTTTCTCTTATAAAACAACAGTTCATGTAAAATAAATATTTTGCCTTAGCAACGAAGGAACTATAGTTTATATAAATCAATTTCTTAACAACAAAAAAATTTACTTACTTCAAAAAGTTAAAAAATTATTAAACATTTTCGAAGTTCAAGGGGGTGGGGGGAGAAAGGTGACCTACCTTGGGCAGTCTGGTTCTCTATGCCCTTTAGACAAAATACTCAGTGTTTCAGAACAGGTGTTCTCAAATTTGAGATAAACTCAAACAAATTTAGAAAAGACATTCAAATGAAATAAACTCATAAATTTAAAAAAGACAATCTTTCTAAAGAGAATTCTCACAGGTTTTTAAGGGTTCTTTTATTTCCCTTTTTCTTCAATAAAATAGTTATGGTAGTAGCAAAAGTAGTCTTTCATAATCCCAGGTCACAGCTTTTCTTGCCCAGGTGGTCAAATCCTTTCGCAGTAGCAGCAATGAACTTTCCATGCCAAGATAGTCAATACTTTTTGCCAAAGCTTTCTCATCCTGGTTGACTATTCCTTTGTGATGTTGCAGTGAAAGTATATAACAAACAAGTGATTTCAACCGGATCAAAACCTAAGTCCTTAAGAGGCATATACTTCTTATCCCCATTGAACTCAAGAATCAACATTTAATCAAACCATACCCATTTGCAATTTCAATTTGGCTGAGTCTCTTTTGTAAATTTTTGCCATAAAATGTTTAAACTGTCTGACTTCATTTTTGCATATTTTTATCATTAACTATGTAACATTCTAATTTTTTTTAATTTTAATTAGTTTTCCATACAATTTAATAGTATTTTATTAAAAAAATTATATTAATTTTTACATATTTCAACATTTTCCTAGTTTTTCATACAATTTGAATATTTCTTTTATTGAAATAGTTTCTCTATTCATTTTTATTTTATAAAATTCCAACATTTTAATTTTTTTCTCATACAATTTTAATATTATTGTTGTTAGTAAAAGATAATTTTTATATTCTAACACACTTCTTTTCACGTGAATTATTGTAAACCAGTTTTTTCTGTTTCAATTACATGCTGAGTAAAAGACCAAAGAGACCAGTTTTAATTTTTTTTTTATATGGAAAAATCACCATAAGACTGGGTTGTGTTTTTCTTATTTCAATAAAACAATTTGAGTATCTGAGTTTAATTGTTCGCTACAAAAATGAAACCAAAACCTTGTAACATCCAAAATGTAACCCACTAACTTTTGGAATTTGTCTGAAGTGAATGTCTATGTCAACATATTGTTATCATTATTAAATTAATTATAAAAATTAATTAATTCAGACCAGTATTTTATTTTTATTGCTTTTATCATCTCATTGTTTCTAGTGTTAACCCGCCAGTCTTCCCGTTTCAAGTCTCTGTTGTAAATGGGCGATTTTCTAGGGATTTTAGAACATGGCCTAGTAATGGAAAAAGGTACTGGCAAAGTTCACCAGGTTCATTGGAAGTTGTGAATTCAGTCTCTGGTTTTTGGGTAATGTAGAAATATACACAGTTCAATAGAGAGACAGATTCGTATCATAAGGAAGAATTGATGATTATTACAATCTTTGAAATTTATTGAGAGCAGACATAATGAATGCAAAATCTCTCTAGTAAATAAAAATAAAAGGGATTTATTTCCTTTCCAAAAGCTTGTGTCAGTTACTTGAGAAAGCCTAGAATAAAAAAAAATGAGGCAAAAATACAAACTATTTTCTTTGATAGCTAATTTAATAGAATAAATTTAACATAGGTACAATATACTATAAATTTCAAATAGAAATCAATGAAGAAAATTTTTTTTCGGTAACTTCTTTTCGAAATTTATAGAAAATTTAACTTTTGCCTGAGAGAAAAAAAAAGGTTTGCATTTTTTTAAGAACAAGTAACAAAAAAAAAATCATGCAGAGCTAACCCTCATTTATTTTTCCTGAATAATTTTTGAAAAAAAAAAAAAGTTAATTTTCTGCTGTTAGCCAGAAACACAAAAATGAGTGAATAGTTAAGAAAAATGTTAAATTTTTATTTATTTATTTTGTCTGTTCAAAATGTTTGTGAGGAAATGAGCGGCAATAATGTGACCCGGGGAAAGGCAATTTGGTGAAAAGGTGAAATCGAGGCTGGCGCGGGTTCCAAAGCCGAGCGATTGTTCTTTGCTACGGCTTTGCTTATCCGAATCCCATGGATTTAACAATTGAAGATCTTCGTTCCGAATTGGAAAAGAGAGGACTTGATTCTGCAGGAGAGCAGAAAGATTTACGATCGCGATTTGAAAAGGTATTCATCTTATAAATCATTCACTTTTATGTAGTTAAATAAATACCAACGACGATGGGGGGAAGACGACGATGACGAAAGCCTTTCTTGTCTCGATTGAGCTTCTTTTTTTTTTCTTTTTCCTTAGTCAAGCAAAAAAAGAATCGATATAAAAAGAGATTGTTTTATAAAAATTTTTTTTGCTTCTAGTGTACTTTTCAGATAATTTCTTGATTGAAAATTGCACATAAAATTTTTAAAAAATGAAAGAATAACAACGAAATACGTTGAATAATAGTTTTAGCAGTGATTCCAAGTAATTTATTTTGCTAAATTAATTTGCTAAGTAAGCTTTTAAAGTAAACGCTTTAATTTCGATTTATTTATTTAAAATATGTTTACTTCGAATGGAAAAACCTAATTTAAAAAATTAGATTCCAAATTAGACGGAAATTTATTGTACGAAAAAAATGTGTTCGAGAAGAAATATGGTTGAACTTGCGTGTAACAAAGTGTTAATTATTTCCTGTCAAAACGTTGATTAATTTGGAATGATTAAGAAATTACTGCCATGAAAATACATTTTAAAATAAAATTTTATATATATATATATATATATAGTAAAAAAAAAAAAAAAAAAAAAAGATCGTTAAGAACTCGAAAAAAAAGTTTCCATCGCATTAAAAAGAAATCCAACTTGATAACATTTTTTTTTATAAAGACGCCAATTTTTATTTTAAATCCTAGAAAGAAAAATGAAAAATAAAAAGCCTTTTTGATATTAGAATTAAAATTTAGTTAGAAAAGAAATTTTTGACACAGGTTGATTGTTGATGACATTTTGTAATTTTTTTTATTTTTTTTCCTATGATTTTCCACAAATCGTCCTGATTTCGTTATTTAATCCACGCATTCTTTGACATGATTTTCTTTCTATTTTTTTTTCTTATGACGATATTTTCAGTTATTTAATTTTCTACCAGACTCTAGAATTCTTATCAATAATGTTTAAAATAAATTCGAAAAACCCAAACACTTCAAAATCAAAATGTATGATTAAATTGATGCGTCTAATTATTTTTAGTGTGGGATATTTTTTTAATGTCAAAGTGTTTAAAAAAAAAAATAGAAAGAATGAAGCCCAGTTTTTTTTTTTTTTTAATTTCAAATCAAATTTATTTTTATCGTGTCATGGAAAATTTCACATCTTTAAATAATTCGATGTACTTTATATTGAAATATGTCATTTTATTGTGCTTAGAGGGAAAAAGGAAATATTTTCCAAGATGAGAATGATTGCTTAAAGGCCAACCGACGACCAACCAACCAACCTTTATGGCTGCCGAGTTAAAAACTACACTGCACACACACTCGTCGTCGTCTTAAATCCATTTTCTTTCTATTGATTTATTTTATTATTTTTTATTTCTACAAACTTCTTGTTTAAACATTTTATTTGAAAAATATTCAGTAATCTATTTAAAATTCTGATGAATTATATTAAAAAGTATTAAAATCCTGAGTACTTATGACTCTATGCAAATCGACCAGTAGTAGTCGTAGTAATTGTGTGGCAAACAAGATTTCTTTTTCACACATCGCAAAAAGGTTGGATTTTTATTTTAATTAATCAGTTTTTCTTTACCGATATAGTAAGAATCGATTCTGTTAATCAAAGGTGATTAATTAGTTCTCAATAAATTTTAAAAAAAATGAAGGCGGGGTAAATTCGGTTTTGCTCTGGTGGTGGGGGTAGTAATATGTACTCTGAACAACGGGATTGACATGAAATGTCACCGCCGGAAGTGGGTGGGGATCCATTCATGTGTGCATATGTATTCTATTCTATATGAATGAGATAAGTGCTACTTTCACATTTAATTCCATGAAAAAGCATTAAATATTGTTTAGTTTTTTTTTTTGTTTGTTTTTTTACTTCATTTAAAGTGATTTTTAAAAATTAGATTATTATTTAGACAAAGAGAAAGGAAGCCAAAATTGTTTGTTTGAATTTATTTGCACTTTGTTCACATCACCATTCCATAAGTTAGAATAAAATACGGAAAGCAACAAAAATGGTAATTAAAAAAAAAAAAAAAACATGTTCGTGATGAGAAATGAAAGTATTTCATTATTTTCATCAATAATGCTTGAGTGGAAATAGAATAGTTTTTTTTACTTCGCTTCTCGTTGCTTCTTGTCTTTCCAACAACTTCATTAATTCGAAAATTAGTGATTTTTTTTTTTTTTTTGTTTTTAGTGTAGACGTTGGAGGTAAACGTGATCCAAGAAAAAATAATGTCACTGATTGAGCTTGCTTAACATTATTTGTTTGTTTGTTTTGCAATTTAAGTTTTTTAGTTTATCAAGTTTATCGATCCTGCTGTCCATGTGGGAACTAAAACGTTTTGGTGAAAAAATAGTTACTTTTTATCCTCTAAAAAGTGTATACGAGTAATACTTTTTTCAGTTTTACTCGTATAGCCTTTTGAAAAGTTTGAAAATCGAATTTTGTAAGTACTTGTCTTAAAAGAATTGTAGTCCCAAGTGGTATATGATGACACGTGTGCCGACGTCACAGATAGTTATGTTTTTGATCAGAAGAATGACAAAGTGAAAGTTGGTAAATCTTATTTTTGTACCTGTGTTCATCCAATGTAGTCTGTTTCCTTCAATTTTCATGTTTTATTGTAAGTACCTTAAAAAAAACTAACTTTCTTGAAGCTTTCTGCTTTTATTTTAGTTCTAATTTCAAGCTAATAGAATATATTTCCAATAAAGAAATTACTTCGCTGTATTTTAAAAATTGGCTGGTAGGAGTTTTTTTTTTTTTTTTTTTTTTTTTTTTTTTTGAAATCGCTGCTTTTCATCCACCGTCAGCACAATGTAATTCTCTTTATAGTTGATGTAAAGTTTAATTAATCTGATTTGAAACACTTACTTTTAATTAGGCATCTCCGCTAAATTTTCAATAAGGTTTAATTTTTAAAAATGAAAAAGCACTCTTGAAACTTTCTTTTGTAGCTTTAATTGAAAGCTAAATGATTAAATTTACTATTTCCAGTAAGCAAATAGAAATAATATTGATTGAAATCTCTTTGGTTGCTCTGACAAAATCGGCCATTTTTGACACATTTGTAAACAAAAGTTAATTCTCGGTTTTTAAAAAAAAATCTTCCAAAAATAAAATATACTTTTCTCAAACATTGGGGGACATTAGTTGATTTAAAGTAGGTACCTCCATGAACATCAATAAAAAGAGCATAGCATGACAAGAACAGCCTTAAATTTGATGAAAAACTTTTTTATCTGCTTGTAGGCTTGTCCCAGGTAACGCTAAAAAAGTGGTATACCCTGGAGAAAAAAGGTCCCCAAATCGATAAAAAAAATTTTGACGTGTAAATGTTTGTTAAAATTAAAGAGGGAAGACCAAAGTATTTTTTGAATATTTTTTTTCAGATTTTTTAATCCTTCCTATAAATTTTTAAAATTTTTTAAAGAATTCGTTTTTCTTGAATAAAAAAAAAAAACTAGTAAATTCGATTTATCGGCCATTTCTGGCCGAATTTGTAAACAAAAAATCAAAATTAGTTCAAAAATCAATTAAAACCAATTACACCTTTTTTTTTTTTTTTTTGTTAGGAAATTTAGAATGATTAAAGTATACTTAGTGTAATTTGAAAGAAACATTACTTTTTTAGCAGAAATTTTTTTAATAGAGATATTTCCAACCATGGTACTCGCGCGGGTGCGTAATTGATGGGTGTCAATATATTGACAACTTACGTCAAGGGAATTTATCGTACGGTAGCGCAGAAGTGATGTAATTCGTTCTAATTTTAAGTGAACCTAGTTAGTAAATTAAAAAAAAAAATAACTTTCAATTTTTTTTTTTTTTTTAACCTTACGTTTGAAGAAAAATTTCTGCACTGAAAATAACATTTAAATTGTGAAAAAAAATCAAATTTTACAAGTAACAACGAAACAGTAACAACATTTTTTTAAATTGAGTTATATTTTATTTATTAACAAAATTAATATTGAAATGCTATGCAATCGATTTCAAATTTTGCTTTGTTAACAGTTAACTGAATGAATGCAAAGTAATTTCTGAAGTAAAAAAAACTTGCTTCTATCTAGGGAAACAACTCTACCTCACGTGACGTTATTTCAAAGTTGTGCATCCATACTTTCGTTGGAGACGATTTTAAATACAATTTTGGAATATTAAAAAATTATTTTAAAAATATTCACGGTTGTCAGATTTTAATAAACTTTCAAATTTATGATCTATAAGAAGTAGAGAAATATATGTCATTTCCATAAGGCTTTATAAAGAAACTTAATTTTAAATTATATAACAACATTTTGTCATATTGTGTATTTAAAATACAAAAAAAAAAAAAAAAAATTGTAAAATTCATTTTTCATCAAAATTTTTTTTTTTTTTCAGATAAAATTACCTTAGTATATGTTATTCAGAAAAGTCATAAAAAGTTTTTAAATTAAATATTGTCTCAGTTTTATTGGGTTTTGTATTTTTTTACAATTGAGTTAAAAGTTTGGACAATTTTTATTTTTTTTTACAAAAAAATCGATGATTTAGAATCTTCAGAGTCTTGTGCATTTAATTGAAAAAAAAATATCAGGCTTTGAAAATTAATTTTTGAAGTTTTCATAAAATTAAGTTCGAGGGGTGTAACAGATATAAAAAAAAAAAATATTTATATCATGACTTTCAAAAAGACAAATATTTCTAAAATAATTTCATTCATTTGTGAATAAGTTCTGAAAGTTTCATTAAAATCCAACAAGTACTTGATTTTTGCAAGATTTTCCAAATCAATGTGTTTTTTTGCAACTGAAAACAGTGAAAAACAAGTAATGTTAATATGACCTAATTTTGACCTAAAAAAAAAAAAGCAAAGATTTTTCAACCTAAATTTAAAAAATGCTACAAATGAAAAAAAAATTTTTTTTAAATAATTAAAAAAATACCTTGGTCTTCCCTCTTTAATTTT